TTGAGGGGATAGTCTCCGGGAGTTATTGTAATTACTATGAAGGAATATTCATAAGTTTGTAAATTATCACTATTTATTACAAATATAAAGCAAACAGAATTTATATAATGTTTACAATGTATGAAGTGTAAACAGTAAGAGATGAAGTATTGACCGCTTTCCCCGATAGGGAATATCCCGTTGGCTATAATAGATAATAATAATAATAATAATAACAATAGATATTTTATTAGCGTGTCACACATTTTAAAATACATACATAATAGTGTTCACTAAAATAATGCATGATTTATAAAATGCCCAGCCAGTATTGGCTTACGAGACACAGAACATACTGAGAGTTATCAATCATGGTTAAAAGAAATACGTTTCCTCATGCATACAAATATTACTCTAGTTATAAAACACTGCAGAGATGCCTCATGCATTAAAAAGATAAACGTATCTTTCGAACTCGTATCTAAACAATTTGATGACATATCATTAGCCTTTATAAAAAGGGGTTCCCTGATTTCACTATAATAATCACAATCACATAAAAAATGAATTTCTGATTCAACAGATTTAGAGTTACAATATATACAAAGTCTATCACATGATTGTATTGCATGTTTATTATAGCGGCAAGTCTCTATACAAAATGACAAACTTCCACACCGCAGTTTAGCTAAAACGCTCCTGTGTGGTCTGGGCATTATACTGGTTACGTAAATTAAAGGTTTTAAATCTTTTTTGAACAATCTTTTCGTTCTTAGCTTATTACCATTTTGCTGCCTGTTATCTGTCAAGATCCCTGTAATCCATGACTGTTCATCTAACTTAAAAACGATTTTCATAATATCAAGATAAACAGAACACACTAGAATACTTTCGTTTCTCTCAGTACATATCTTTATTCTGACCAACGTCATTTTATATAGGTATGACATTTGACCCTGGTCAGATTTCAAGTTAAAAACAGTATAAGAATGAGTTGGACTTGACTGTGAATGAGAAAGTATGAATAAAACCATTTCCATAAATGGTTTAGGTTGAAGGTGAATGAAATGTATCTACTACCCATGACAACTAGTAATCATTCCGTTTTCCTGTGACAGCTCCTTAAGTCATGCTCTGTATTTCTCCCCAGACGATTCGCAAAAATCTGAACTTTCTGAAAAATGAACATCAATCAGAGAAATAAGCAGCTCAAAATGCTCTTTGTGATGTACGCTGACTTTGAAAAGTTTCATCAGATCCCTCAGTAATACATGTGATCTAAAGACATCCCCCGCGACTCTTATATCAAAAACACATCCATCAGGCTTTCCCTTTATTCTTAACTATTCACCCGTCCGAGTGCACTGAGGCCCCGATGGGGTTAGCAAGCCACTTAATCCAAGAGGAAGAGGATGTTGAAAAACTTTAAAAGGTTTTACATGTAATCCAATGTGTTTCGCACATGAGGAAGTGGTCCCGTTAAAGTGATATAACGTGACATATCGGGCGAAAGAATTAAGGAAACGACAGAGATAGCAGAAGTAATGCTAAAACGGGAGTTTTTCTGTTACCAAGTAGGTGATGTTTATTTTCAGACAGATATTAAGTTTTGATGGTTAAAAATGAGATATTTCTGCAATTTGTTTCCATGTTGTTATGGGGGTTTTCACAAACTTAAATATGGGGAAAGTACTTGTTTACTATTTCATTTTTCTTTAATGATTGCATTTCGATGGGTTTTTTTTTTATAGAAAAAACACATATGTGTAGGTGTGTTGTGCAGAATTAATCCACTATCCATGAATATCTCAGACATACACTTTATTTTAAGGATCAATCATTCAGATATTCTATCCACAGTCAATATTCCTTAAAGTTTCAGTTTCTTTATTGTGAAAGGTAAAATAAGCAAAAGTATTACATTCCCGTAGTATCCCATACATTGGATAGCTATTATAGGCATCATTAAATAGAATCGGTGTCAAAATGTTTACCGAAGTCCCTGTTGTGTATTCCGAATAATATAAAGAGAAACATATCATTCCCTTTTGAGGATTTGAGATTCGTCGATTCTTTACCATTTTTGAATATCACTCTGGACACACTGCTGTCAAACTTTGAACACTCATCCGACGATGAACATCTAAAACTGTTGCTCAGAAAAGGAATGCATCTTACCTATCTCCAGACATTATAAAAAGTAACGACGTTAAAATTGCCCGGAAAGTTTTATGATAACTCATATAATCTGATCTCAAGCTGTCTGCCACACCTGACTAGCTTTGGCGAGTACACTGGCATTTTTTTTGCTGTAATATGATATATGATTGACTTAGTCTGGACTATAACAAGAAGGCCCTGTTCAGTCCAAATCTACTACAGGGCTTTGGTAGGAGGCTAAAATGTCCAGAATACCATTCTAGCTGATCGAGGATGTGGATATGGTATTGGTGACAGAGAAAAAAGGTAACCGCGACGGCATGCCTGTAATTGTAAGGAAGTTTTTTGTTCAGGCTAATATCCAGAACCTAATGATGTGTCTCGTGTACCTAGACAAGAACAATTCATGCCGTACAAATTTGTCTGGGCTCCTACTCGAAATAGACATCCCTGCAGGTCGCGGATTCATCAACACATCCCTGCTGTCGCGTACTGCGCAGTTCGTAAGAGATAATTTATGTGAGTAATCACCGGGAGTTTTTGGAATAGATTGAATACCTGCAATTTAGGAACACGATAATACGATAACGACCAAATTTAATCTGCTGTACGTTTTAAAAGCATTTTTTTTCTGTGTGCTTTCTGCTTTTTTTCTAACGCTTTACTATGAATACCTTTTATTCGGCCTTTGTGTTGAGTGTCATAAAAGTGAGTGCGTTTATTGGTTCTATCTCCAGACTGAGGACAAACCAAAATCCTTGTCATTGGTCCTTATTGCAGTTTGATATTCTGATTTAAGAGGGTGGCGGTAAGGCTGGCTAGCCCGCTGTCAGTATAATATAGCTGGGTGGAATTTCAGGTTACCGTGCACAGATTAAGATTTTGCAGTTGGATGAAACTTTCGAGCGGCTCTGCCATTCGTGGACAGAGTCCACTGATGGGGTGGATACACATTGGAACAATTGATGAAGTAATAAAACTTAAATCAAGGGATGTTCCCATGACGACCTGTCAAGGAGTTGCAAAGAATGATGAGCAATTTCGTCACACATTTCCACTTTTACGCTAATTGGGGAAGAAGGGATTGGGGTTCATCTGTTTCGGCCATCGGGAAATTCCAATCTGGGAAGGAAATCAGTAAATAATCATTCACTTGTCCCTTTAAGATCTACTCCTATAGGAAAGGATATAATTAAGGAGGGAGGAATAACCCCTATTTCAAATTCAACATGTTTATATATAACGTTGGACTTGTTTTATATGCGAGTTTTTTTTATCCATGACATTTTTTTTTTGCGACTTTGGAGCTATGTCTGGCTTGGTTTTCTCTATACTAATACCTCACGACCGCCAATTATAACCGTATACAAATACAGCTCCCATTATTTTATTAGTCATGAACAAACAAAACTAAGACCTCGAATTTCGCGTGAAACACAATAATTAAATCAAATATTTAAAATAATGATATCTCTTTTTTTATACCATATTTATTTAATGACTCTGTCAGCATAAAAAATCAAAACCGTCATTCAATTAAAATATTCAATAACGATCACGTTATTGCATAAACCTATCATAGCTTTATGTATATTTAAGGATTTACACCCACCGCCACCACGAACACCACCTCATACCGCACCCACACACCGTATGTTTAATTTAATTTGTGAGAACTAGGTATTCATATACATTCCCCACACACACACGTACGCACACACCACGTCCAATAAAACACTTTCATAAACTCATCCTACCTCACTCACAACAACCATCCTACACATTTGCAAAAATACTCTTTAAGCGAAATAAAAACACAGCAATTCGCAAAAGTCTGGTGTGATAATAAAACGTCTTAATGGACTCCAAGCTCGCCCGTGCTGTTCTAGCTAACCTTTGTAAACACGACACTGACAGTAAAGATGACGCTACGATAAATAAGTGCAAAAGTTCCAGACAAATCAGACCATAACACACACGTATGCAGCACTGCTGCGAGCCTCGATCGATCCGAGTTGAGGAATGCATATGACACATGCGCACGCCAGGACGGAAGTGTAGACTATCCAATGTCTCTAGAGACTCGTACTTATTGAATTGGGTACCTCTATACAACTTATCATGACAAAGCTTTAAAAGCAGTAGAAAGTACTCGGAAGCTGTCTGTGTATGATTCTGTTTACATTGTCACATATTATCAAGAGAAGTCATTGGCGTCTGACAGCAGAACAAGAGTGGTTAATACAAGCATAATATATGACAAGGAATAGGTCTTCAATGGGAACCACGCATATAAACTATATAAACTACATGGCTAGCCAAAAGTTCACCAATGTAACCTGGGCGTGAGAAAGATAAAACCCAACAAGCTATCAAGTGTAGCCGGAGGAAGACATATAGGCATACAGCATTCACCCATGAGAATTAATGGCAGAATTTGGAATATTTCCTAATTGAGACCAATCGTGGTCCTGGTCATAAAGAATCCTGATTGTGTCACAAATGATTCAGCTGTCAGTCAGCATCGGTTGGTTTCTGTGCTGTAAATAGTTTTAACTAAACTGATATATTCATTTATATGATGATCAATGGATATACGGTGATCTCTGACGTCGACATCAACACATCTAACTGGACTGATCACATACGGGCCGCGGAATTTCATTCCAATTCTCATCATCGTCACTTTCATTTGGACGTCGTTAATCACAGGAGTAGAACCGCAATCAGTAGTATTGATAGTCTCTGCGTATATTGCACTGACCTAGTGCGGCGCCACACACTCCGTCACACTTCTAGATACCATTCTCGGACCATCTCACTGGCTGGCATGTTGTAACTCCTAAAAAAAGACAAAAAGAACAATTGACAGCTTTTATGTATAGGGGGTAGAACGTGTCGTGAAATGAAACATTCTTTCCTAACACTAACCACACTGGGAATATTCCTCGACATTTCACTAAAGTGAGCTTGTTTTTTAAAGATTATATAGCGTGAACATACAGTTCTTAATATGCAAATGAGCATACAGTGACACATTTATATAAATATTGAGCATTAACTAGCCGTTTGATTGGCCAATTGCGGATTGATACGGTACATCGACAAATTAAAATAGCCGTTCGATTGTGAATTGCTACAACATTTTGCCAAACCATGTTCAGATGTTTGCACGAATGAGGGGAGGCAGAAAACAGCATACATGGAGTTAATATAACAACAATGGGTGTATGTATCATACTAGCCAGTGGATTGTACTAAGTATTACATTGGCTGAGACGAAAGGTGGCCTCATGAGACCAATTGTATATAACTGACGTTAAATACTACTGTAATCTGATCCCCTGGTACACACTGCCATGGATACTGGCGTTGCTGTTAAGGTGACTGTTATTACTGCCGTCCTGCACGTGTTTGTCATTTGGGGTATTTTCACTATGGTTAGACTGTCCTTGTTTCGGCACACAAAGGTCACGGGAACACTAATCCGACTAAGTTTGGTGATGACCCTTTTGTCTGGGACAACTAATCTGGTGGGGCTTCTATTCGGCACAATACAAGGTTAGTAACTTATATAATAATATACAAGTTAAAGCATTCAAAGTTAATGCCTAGTACGACATAACATGGTTATTACCTTGGAAAACCTTTCAAGGTCATGGACAATAATTAAAACACTGACTTGACATCTTTTGATTGTCATCTAGCGTGTCACTTAGTTGTTCCTAATGCAATGACAAAATAACAATCGATATAGTTAACTCTAGACCGATTGAATACTTGCGTGTTGTGTTGCTTGATGCAGGTAAGTGGACAGGTATCATGGTTGCACAAATAAATAACCTTAACTTTTTTTCATGTCAACAGAATCGAATAAGTGTAAATCTCCATCTCAATAATCAAGATGCATGATATCAGGTATGTTTCATTTTAGGTTTAACAGTTACCATGTTGTGTGTCCAAATGAATGTCCTTAGAAGGCCACAGTGTTTAAATGTGCTAAAATAAACAAAATTTCTTCCGATTAACCAATAGGCCAAGGGCTCGTAGCATGATTAGGTGGATTACAAAGTAATTACTTTGAAATGATACCTTGAACACATTCAAAGACATTGGGATCTAATTCATGTATCTGTTTTAATTTTTAGATAATATAAAAACAACCAAGAAGCACTTGTCTTGATATTTAGCGTGTAGCATGTTTGGGTGGATTACTGTTTTCAAATTATACCATGACCACGTTTCACAATGACAGATATAAAAAAATATGGACAACATTTTATAAATAAACAAGAGATACAGGATCATGAACTTTTCCTTATATAGTCTGCTGGTGTAGGGGTTTATTTATTTCGCTCAAAGGAATGACATTGATTCACCTTAAAGGTCACATGGTTTCAATGTGTGATATTCTTTAAACGAATTCTTCTGAATTACCAACAGGCATGGGAAAAAACTCAAATTTGGCCAGTGGCTAACATATGATTCTGCTTCACCGCCGACGTGCTCGGCTAAGGCCCATCCTTTCTGCTGGGTTTCGACCCCTTACTCGATACATTCTCGGGATCGGGGCCCACAATGGTGATCAATCACTTCGCGTGGGTGGTACGTCTCCCGCTGCTGATGTCTTTCTTTGTCAACACGCATTAAAAGAATTTCTGTCGCTGTGTTATTTTCCTCACCTCTGTTTACAGGCATCATTCTTTTATTCTCAATGCAGAGAGTAGTTACCCCAAAGACTGAGCAGGAAAGCCCTTCCACAGCACAACTACTCCATGTTTGCCAACTTCTTTTGCACTCTGCCTGCATTGACTCATATTTGGCCTTCTTTTGCTCATCAATCTGATTGTTTGCTCATGGGATTCCTCACATCTTTCCTCCTAGAGTATTGTCCAACAGTTCCCTTGTTCCCACCAAGAAGCATTCAGGCGTCCCTGCTAAGTTCTATCTGTGCAAGATTGTGTTAGTAACAAATCCTACAATCACTTTTTAACATTTTGGGATAAAGGGCAGTTCAATTTGATTAACCTAATAATCTTAGTTAATTTTCATAGGCGCGTGTGTCAAATGCTTCAAACTCACAAATATTAATGGGATCTAGTGTAATGACTTAATTGTGTAACTTGAAATGTCTTTGGCAATGTGTGAAAAAACACTGAATCGACTTCTTATGGTTCCTTAGTCCTAGATTATTATCATTTGACCTATAGCTTACGGGGAGAAAGATATCAATTTTGTTTTATTAGGTGACATTTGCCAACTTTATAGTACAAGACAATACAAACAAGCTACCAACAAAGATGTATGAGGTGTAAGTTATGATATTAAGTCTGTAGTGTTAGCTTTCCTCCTGTCAAACTTTGACCCAATTCTGAGTATAACATATGTGAAATACTTTTGCCATCAACATTGAATTACAGTTGTACGATACAGTCCCGTTAGGCCTCTTGTTTATTCGTGCGTTGACGCCGTAAAGTACATGTCCGTACGTACCGTCGCTGTTCATGGTGTTTATACGTGTATGTTGACGTTGTGTGATGACGCTGCTGTGTGTTTTATACCGGTTTGTTGTCGCTGTGGTGTATTGTGTATGCCGACGCCAGTGGTATATGTTGTTTCTGTTTCACGTTCTCATATACATTATTTCTACTCCGCTGAGAGAAAACGGAATAAATTGTCATAGCAATAGGCAATACATTCTGTGAAGACAAAGCTATTTCAATGAAAATTGATGCAAGACATTGATCGCAAAACCAGAATCAATCACATAAAATAAATATCCTTGTTTCGATAAAATAAAAAAAATGGAATATGATAATGAAATAGAACTGAAACGAGACGCTCTGTTCGGTGTACTAAATATACTGTTGCCAATGGCAACCTGTTCAGTGTACGTAAAGGAAGTATTACCCATATTCTTCTACTGATTAGTTTGAAATGGAGTATGCAGTCGAACTCTCTCCAGATTTGCTCTATTGTGAGACTTTTCAGCATGCAAAATGGAAATGTTGTCAATAACATTCTAACCTGAACAGGTTCGGGGGAGACAAGGTCTGCTGCATCCTACTGCAATACTGATAGTAAGAGGCGACTAGTGTGGAGCCACCCCCNCCCTGCGCAGAATAGGACCGTGAACGTATTTCGTAAAAAGTTGACTCTAGTGGGGCTCCTGCAGAATCGTCCGTGTCTTCTAACTAAGAGGACACTGTTGAAGCTATAGTTGATCTGCTTCCTCCATTGTAAAACGTGGGATCGTTTTTGTTTCCAATCTTTACCGTCTATATTCTTTCCTATCTTTCCTGTCTTCTTTCTTTCCTATCTTCTTTATCTTCCAGTGGTGTTTCCCTAAGCTCATGTGCTCATATTACCCTGGCTGTTTCGATGACGTTAAACCCCGAACAAACTAACAAGAATATTCTGTTCGTTGTACGTAATCAGAAAACGAAATGGAACTGTTACAAAAACGTTCAATTTCGAGTTTGGAATCAAACTGATACTGTTGCTATTCTGCTTGAGATACGAAATGGAGCTGACACAAAGGTTGTAAAAACGAGATTGTTGCCAAGGACGTCTTGCTTGGGATGCGAAGTGACACTTTTCGTTATCTTTACAGATACAATTCTTATTTATATACCTCATCATCATTATGAACAATATCCTTTTTTTATTTTTCAGCGAGCAATCTGTGTTAAAATCCTGATGGTAGCATTTATTGATCAAAGTAACAGGGTTTCTGTAAAAGACATCATTGCGAACTTACGAAAATGGTTTCAAAAGCTGTTAACAGGGCCATCATGCAAAGGCAATGTCATCAACTTTAATCTGCGGTTCCCCCTAGGGGTGTGCTATTTTTTTCCGCTCACCGTTTGCAATCATTGACTGTTCAAGGCAAAATATAACTGTTTTGCCACCACAGGTTCACTACGTTACAGAAATGATAACGAGTTTTAACAATCTCGAACTTCACGGAAACGAATTAAATATATTTTCAATCACATAACAACTTATTTATTTCGAACGTTTTTTAATCAAACAACCTTTATTCAACGTCGCGATCCTGGAGTAAATGACGTCAAGTTTATAACTCATATCGTAATAATCAAATTACAGATGATGTCACAGTTGAACATCTTCGCGAAAGGTCTTATTACAAGACACAGAGAAAACTGACAGCTAACTATTAAGTTCGTCCTTTTGTATTTAGAAAGAAGTTGGAAGTACATAGAAAAATAAATTTCTGATATTGTTATTTGGTAGTTATCTTCTTTGTAGACAGTAGGTCGATAGTTTTAAATATATAGAAATTGTCTTTATTTTGTAGATATTGTACACATGCTAGGCATATATATATATATATATACGTTTGTACACAGAAAAAATAAGATTGAACGACCGACTAAAAAACTAGCTTCTTTTACGCTTCACAGAGCTCTTATATACAAAATGTATAGATTTAGTATTCATAGGCAGACGGTATTCATATGAAATGGAATTTATAGACCGTTTTTCTTTCAGACAAGTCTCTCTTTAGTTACATTTCACGATCGGACGTGAAAAGGTATAATGGGTTGTCTGCCCGACCACGGGAGTTTACTCCGGGTATTCCCTCGGTGCGCTTCCATCCGGGCCAATAAGAGTGATTAATAAAAATTGCAAGAATTTGTTTCCTAACTGTTGTACAATATATAAAGGTTATATTTGTTCACCATATGATGGGGTTTTGTAACAGAACAATGTAAGATCAATGTTTCCTTCTGGTTCACAGGTACTTGGACCCTTGGAGAAACCATGTGCCAGCTAGTCGGCCTCACCAACCTCGTTCTCACCTCCGGGGCCACGTGGATTATGGCTATAGCAGCGGTTGAAAGGTACGGATTCTTTCATTGATCAATTCTTGTATATCAATGATTTTCTTCATTGAAGAAAAACGCATTAAAAACACAGATGTGGTATAAATTACATAAAATGCATTAGCACAGCAGAGCTGCTATCAACACCTATCAGATTCTAACAAACCGTTTTCTCTAGAATTCAGTAGGCCCCACCTTTTCGATGAGACGAGAAGACTCGTTTGATCCTTTGATGTTCATAAAAAGAATCCGTCCATCGCCTAACGGTAAAATTGACTGACTTTGAAGTCGGATGTCGCTTCTTTGTAATTTTCAAAGAACACATTTGACATATCCCTAGGGTGCAGAGAGCGAAAGTGAGCGTAACCCCTGGAATATCGAGGATGCCCTAGAATTGGTTAATGTCTTTGGCACGGAACGTTCGTCGGTTCAAAATCCTTGTTTCTGATAAAATTATATGTCATTTGAAAAATAAACCTTGATTCTGGCTGATGTGGCATTCTATTTATCTCGTATGTTTATGAATTTCCCATAGCAGGATATAACGTATTACTCTGCTCTTTTAATGTTTTTTGTGTCAAATAACTCTTAGTCAGTAGTCAGTAACGGGTGGTCGGGTAATGCAGTGAATAGCGCACTTGCCTTTCATCAAGGCGTGAAAAGTAATAGGGTCACCTACCCGACAACGTGGGTTTTCTCCGGGTACTCCGGTTTCCTCTCACATTAAGAACCTCCACGCGCTAACATCCGGGCCAACAAGAGTGATTTAAACTTGTTTCATAATTGTTGTAAAATTAATAAAGTTTATATTTATATTTATATTCAGTAACGTCAAGTACAACGACACTCGACTGAGGCACATCCTGTGTCTCCATAAACTTTACAAGTGTCCCCGGTACCATGTCGGTGTTGCCTCTGATAACTATACACCCTCGCATGTTAGTAATCATTGCTTTGGTAAATCGACTTCTAGTATTTTGCCTATGAAGAAAGCAGTGGGAATCTCAGCTGGGCCGCAACTTATTCAGATTGGTCATAACTCAAGAAGACCGTAGATATTCCGCGCTATCTTCTCTTTATTTCTGTTTTCGTCCTGTTACTGAACTTAATCGAACTAATGCATTCATAATCAAAATGTAGTAGGATTGAATCTCCGGCAACACTTGAACAATGACCTTCATACACAAGTAAAAGCTTACTACTAATCAACGGCATTACACATAAAAATACAGTTATAAACACATTTAACATGTCGGTATTATAAGGAGCGCTCTTTTAAAGGGGAAAACCCCCCACTATGATATGTTTATGTTATTTTTTTTATTTTTTTTTATTGAAGGTATTTTCGATTCCTGTTGGCGTCCGACCATCCGTCCACCTTCTCTCAGAAGAACGTGAACATCCTAGTGGCGGGTATTTATGTTTTGGTGATCCTGGTGGCCACTGGTCCTCTCTACGGCTTAGGAGAATACTCCAACTTTCGTGGTCAGTATAATGTAGTCGATCACGTGGGAGAACGATAATCTGACGATCTGTAGGTCGAGTTAGAGAGGCAATTTATCGTGCTTCACAAGTCTTTATCAACGAACATCATAGAAACAGGATATTGCTTGACACCTTTGAAAGGATATATATGTGGTATCGCTCTGGAGTATATCACAGCAGAGACGCTGGGCCAGTACATGGGTGACATTGTTAAAAGGGTTTAGACGATTTGCCAAACCAGGGTTTTTAACGTTAGTAGAAAGGGTTTAGATAATTTGTCAGACCAGATTCTACATTAATAAAACGTTGCTTTTTTCACATTAGATTTAATATGATATAGATACCGGTAGTAAAAATGTTTCGGTAAACTGGTTTTGTCATTTTGATAGTGTGGTTCAATACTGTGTATGTTCATGTTGCATTTTGTACCGCAATATTTTTTGGATTTACGAAAACATTCTTATTCTCAAGAATAGTTTTTTATGTACTACTTAATTCAGAGAAGACACTTGCGTGCTAAGGTTTATTTTTTTTATATCTCTTATTGTCTAAAAATAATATCATTTCCTTCCTCGAACAAAAATCAATTACTGGATGTATAAGCCATCTGCTTAAAATGTAGTTTGCAAAAGCAGAAAGCCAAGCAAAGTGAACATTTTACGGCACCGTAAGGTCATTTCGTTAATCCTGGATTCATCCGTAGTATTATAGATGAAACCAATAAAATGCAATTGTCTAAAGTGTTACAAACCACTTAATTCAGCGTCATCGGTTTCAAGGACACAAACGAGATCGCACTAGATCTGCCACACCCATTACAACAGTTGAAGTCTTTATTTTTGTTCTGAGTTGTCACTAAGACTGTTATACTTCTCTGTCCTCGTGTATCACCTGTCATTAAACCGTGTGGGTCTATACGGTTGTGTTTAGTGCCATTAAGACTTTACCATACCCCCATTGCAATGACATTTACTTCTCACCTTCAGGTCACGTGACGCTTACAATTACGGCTAACTCCACCGCACAGAACGTATCCTATGGGGACAAGACGGCGGATGAAAGATTGTACGTCAACATACTCCATCAAGCGACCGTCATCGGTAAATTACCCGACACAATACCGTGTTTTGTGAATCATTTAGAAAAGGACTACGGGATGACAACATCACGATATGTTTGGATGGACAGGGGGATACGTTTCCTGTTACGGGCCTGGACAGAGCGACATGCGTGGTCATTTTTGTCTGCGTATCAGACAGACGGACTCAGGTCGCTAGTGTCGCGCCACCTGTGGCAAGAAGAACTATTGTGGAGTGCTCGGATGGAGCACCTAGAGTTCACTGCACATCTAGACCAGGCAGAATACCGGAAATATGTCGAAATATACGTTCCTTCTCAAAGTGAGTACGTAAGGACGACGTGCCCAGGCACATTACACGTGAACGTAATACATATATACGTGACTGTACCTATCAAACTTGTACAGTATACTAAAATAAAGCACACTTCACCAAAAAGTCGAATTGTCCTCTTAGACTCATCGGTAAGTGCCAAAAGATGGATACCTGAATTGATCAAAACTACTGCAGAAACAGGAGGGGTTGCGTCAAACCCCTAATTATAGGAATTTCAAAAGTTTTAGCAGTGCTAGATAATTTCAAATTTATAATGAGTAAATTATTACGTTATAAATCTTTCTACAACTCTAAAGAAAAATCTGGCTACCGATGTAACTGTTGGCAAGCTTAGAATTTCGAAGAAGGGAAGCAGGCGTTTAGGAAATTCTATACTGCGCAAAAATTAAAACAAAGTAAACATTAACCTGCACCATATGGTCATGTCGTCCATTAAGACTTATCGGTGGTATTGTTAAGGTCAAGACAGTAATGATCAATGTCAAAAGTGTTCTGAGGTATATGTAGAAATACAGCCATTGGGGCGAGGTGCCTTCAAACTCGTTACAAAGTTACAAATCTTCAACTTCTGACTTAAACAGATCATTTATATTTTTAAACCTACATTTCACGAAAACCGTGTCAGACTTAATTCCAGCTACAAGATTCCGGCTAGCTGCGATAACGTAGCTTTCTGACGACGAGATTTGTTTTATATATTGTGTATAATATTAGTACTAAATTCCGGTCGACATTAGGGACTGAAAGTTAACCAGCAAAGTTAACCACCTTGTGACGTAATATATCCAGCAAATGTACAAAATACGTAAACGACCTATTTGAAAATGTATTAAGTTGATGCTGAATGTCAAACAAAGTAAACTGTTCCAAATGACTATATGGCGCAGGATCTCTGGGGCAAAGATATTTTGTATAAAAGAATGATGTTGTCCTATCTAGGCAGAAGAGATGGGTCAAATAGGAATAATGGGAGAAAATCCTAATTCTTCAGTGTGAGTAAAGCGATATTATCCTATACTGGTTTATAGAATCCCTAGGGACTAAACTTCCTATAATTAACAGGTGTAACCTTATCTTGGGACAGAGGGACAAGGCTCACTAAGACAAAGAGATTTTAAATGAATTCTAAGTAAACAGCAGGTGAGTTTGGCAGGCCCTCAGACCACTTGTTATCCACACACGATACACCTACCACAGGACGTGTTTATGAATATACATCTAAAATGCTACTTGTATGATAGACCTTTGAGGCCGACAATGAAAAAAACTTCTCTCTTTTGCAGGGCTTGGTCAATGTACAGTGGATTTTACGTCACCTCACGTGCACGCCACGGTATGGTCCGGATACCAGCTGGTCATCAACACACTGCTGCCGCTTGTGCTCACCCTGGTCGTGTACCTGGTGTTGTACGCGCGGAACCCCTACACAATGTCGGCCTTTGATAAGAACCTTTGTCAGGAGGACTTTTCAAGCCTCCGCATCTTCTGTACGTCATCTATGACGTCATGTTTCTTTTCAGTTCTCTACTTTGGCGTGACGTTGTCCAACGCGGACGGTGTGTATATTTCGCCAGACGTAAACTTCGTGGTGACGTTTGCCTACTATAGTAGCAGTCTTGCGACGTGCGTGAGTGTTTGTTGTTATGACAATTTGTGTTGTGGCGGTCTTAAGGCTTCCTGCACGATGTGCTGGCTTTATTCTCGGGACTCCATCTCTAACGAGATTTCGGACATCAAGCTCCGCCAGAAAGCGCTGCCGAGACTAAGCCACGCAAACTAGCCCCAGTTTGGTCAGATACATCTGTGATGTGATAAACGGAGGTTTTCTTGAAAATTGTGACGTATATATTTAACTATTATTTGCCTATTACAACTATTGTTGAGTGTTAATTCATATACTGAGGCAATCAAAAATATGACGCGCTTTTAGATATGACTAATCAAAATATTGTGCTCAAATAAGAAAATACTCAGAATCAAGAAAAAAATACGCAGATATTCGTCTTTTTGTATAAGTGAAACAAGTATATCTTAGAATAAAATATTTTGTGCTTCGTGTTCAATGATTTATTTGTCGTTTGTAGTTTAACGGAGGAGAGCGCGCCAGACCGTTACACTGATATAAACTGTGCTTGTGGTCTAAATCACTAGCTAGACGGACTCATAAAAAGTTAAACTTTTTACAAAATATATAACGGACTTGTTCCCTGCTATACAGATGACATTTCTTAGCTCGCACAAAAAAAACGGTATTGATTATAACCATAAGAACGCCAGTGTACAATTCCTCGAAATGAACTTAACTATAATTGTTCCGTTTTCCTTTTCTATTCGTAGACTTACTGTTATGAATACCATCCCCTAAAACACACTCTGCTGTTTCTTCAGTACCGCCGTATGAACATTCCCTTGACAATAGATGTAGCAAATTAAATGCTGACCAATCTTGTAGAAAGTATTTCATACCTGTGTGGACACTCTTGAGGATCCTGAAATGTGTTCTTGCTAAGACGCAGACAATATGACATCCTTAATTTGAAAAACACCTCTGACTATATAACAGTGATACGTGTGCTTTCTGTAGAAAGTGAAGTGCTCCTGTAGGGTGAGAACACTACCGTTATATTTACAACTGTCCAACAGGTGTAAATACATCAGGTAGATACCTTTATGTCCATGACCAGCTGTTTTTCCCTCCTGTTTTGTTTCTCTCGAAATGAATCAGATCTATAGCACATAATTGCTTCTGCACATAAGATAGGCTGAGCTAGATGAACGTGGGAAAAGTAAAGGGATATTCTGCCAAGATGGGTATCGTAGAAGCATCCGGATAAAAAATCGAAATGAGATCTTAGATGTATAGACATGCGACTCTCAAATGAGAAAATAACTCCGACATGTACCACAACCCATTAGTGACATCACACAACGATACGTGCGCGTTAGTGGCATCTAAACGCCGGAACTAACTCAAGAATAGCAATATATACGCATAACCTTTTCCACAAAAAATATCGGTCTTGAGCATTTCAATTAAGACATCCCATTTCCTTATTTTTCCCACGAAAAGAGTTTACTTTGGAAGGGGCAACTCAAAATCATGTTTTAATATATATTGGCAAGTCACAATGTATTAAGTGTGTATCGAAAATTGTTCCATATATTTACGTAAGCGACCATAATTTCGTTTTCATATCGCTTAAACTATAAAATATCTTTTTTAAACTTTGGATTAACTGTAGAATCTGATATTTTCGAAACCATGTTTGAAACACGCTGGAAATTCTGAAGATAAGACATTTGGAAACATCTATGATGGTGGGAATTCGAAAAGAATTATAAATAAATAAAACTTACTGTTCAAGACACACAAAAAGTCTAAGTAGAAAATAGAATGACATTTAAAAATGAGCAAATCTGACAATTATAAAGACAGTGAAGTTAACAGAATGATTAATGAAATATATACATAATGCAGCCAAAAAGCAAAACATAATGAATTCGTTCTAGAATTAAAATACTAGCATTCCTTAAGGTCAAATCAAAGGAAATACGTTAAAGTCAAATCAAAGGATATTGACCCCTCAGAGAACTCGTAATGTACGTTAAGGTCAAATCGAAGGAAATTGACCCCTCAGGGAACTCCTAATGTACGTTAAGGTCAAATCAAAGGAAATTGACCCCTCAGAGAACTCGTAGTGTACGTTAAGATCAAATCAAAGGAAAGTGACCCCTCAGAGAACTCGTAATGTACGTTAAGGTCAAATCAAAGGAAATTGACCCCTCAGAGAACTCGTAGTGTACGTTAAGATCAAATCAAAGGAAAGTGACCCCTCAGAGAACTCGTAATGTACGTTAAGGTCAAATCGAAGGAAATTGACCCCTCAGGGAACTCCTAATGTACGTTAAGGTCAAATCAAAGGAAATTGACCCCTCAGAGAACTCGTAATGTACGTTAAGGTCAAATCAAAGGAAAGTGACCCCTCAGAGCGAGAATCTTGCTGGGTAGTGACAACGGAACATCAAAGCTAACTAATGAGCAAACCTCTCCCCCTTCATGTCCCACTTTGTAATGACATATTCCGTTTTATATCATGGTGAAGACCTGTCCGTCGTATAGTCTTTACCAACCTGCATCTTTGGAAACGCTGTGATGTTAAGTCCGTCATCCTCGATACTCCACGGGTTACGCTCACTTTCGCTCTCTGCACCCCTGGAATAGTATATAGCAAAATTGAAGGCACAAAGATAGCTGTTTGGTTGGTCTCAGGTAAAAAAAACTGACCAATCGGTCAGAGACGCCCGACTTCAAAGCCAGTCAATTGTCACCGTTACGTGACCGCAAGATTATTTTAATGTACATTAAAGGATTAAACTAGTCTTCTCGTCTCCTTTGATTTTGCTATGACATATTCCAGGGGTGAAGAGAGTGAAAGTGAGCGTAACCCTTGGATATCGAGGATGAAAGTCCGTCAGCAGTCGACATATATAATGGAAATCGTGATATGTAGAGCAAGCTCAATCCGAAATCAACATGTAAACAATGTAGGTTGGGGAAAAAGATATATTACTATCAAGAAAGGGAAGTTTGACGGTCGGAAAGTCGATATCGTTCCGCTTAGCAGTAAGCTGACCCCAATGGTAATATTATGAGTAAATATCGAGGAAAGCAACTCACGTAGAAAAGTATGTAGCGTTCTTTATTTCAATCTTAAATATAAGATCGACGAGGTAAATAAATCTTTTGACAGCAAATCGTCTAGGCTAGATTTGTTCGTTACAAGTCCTGATCAGCTCTTTGTAAACCCAAGCTGACAAGAATAACACAGTTTGTTGCACAGGAATTGATATAGTCATAGTAGGATTGATATAGTAATAATAGGATTGATATAGTGATAAAAGGATTGATATAATGATAATATGATTGATATAGTGATAATAGGATTGATATAATGATAATAAGATTGATATAGTGATAATAGGATTGATATTAATATTTGGATTGATATAGTAATAATAGGATTGATATAGTGATAATATGATTGATATAGTGATAATATGATTGATATAGTGATAATAAGATTGATATAGTAATAATAGGATTGATGTAGTAATATTTGGATTGATATAGTGATAATAGGATTGATATAGTGATAATAGGATTGATATACAATGTAGTAATAATAGGATTGATATAGTGATAATAGGATCGATATAGTATAATAAGATTGATATAGTGATAATAGGATTGATATAGTGATAATAAGATTGATATAGTAATAATAAGATTGATATAGTAATAATAAAATTGATATAGTGATAATAGGATTGATATAGTAATAATAGGATTGATATAGTAATTATAAGATTGATATAGTAATAATAAAATTGATATAGTGATAATAAGATTGATATAGTAATAATAAGATTGATATAGTGATAATAAGATTGATATAGTAATAATAAGATTGATATAGTAATAATAGGATTGATATACAATGTAGTAATAATAGGATTGATATAGTGATTATAGGACTTTAGTAAGATAATGGCTTGGTTTAGTAACTAGCAGAGCAGGCAATACAACATCGCATTTATAGATTCCTGTACAGTTTTTGAATCCAATAAAGATGAGATAGGTCCGTATCCTTATTAATGTTTATTCACAAATATTGTAATACAGACGTGTGATTAGACATATTTATTTTGTATTTCGAAAAATACCATTGTGAATGTCAGAATTGTGTTGTTTTCCTTTTAGATTTCCAGCAGAGTTTTCTTTTATTAACTTATTTATGTATGATTTGGCCTGATTGATTTGACCTACTGGGAAAGTGAATCTAGTACAGCATGCCCTCGGATTTCCCTTAGTATGACGAAGCCGTCTATAGAATCTATCAGGTTTATTTTTTAAAAGATGTATGGGGGTGCTAAGTAAAATTTAACATGGTGAAGGAGGAGTTATTCTAATGTCAACTTTGCTCATCTGTTGTAGCGTTTGCTTGTAGCTTAAATGCAATATGGGTTTAGAATGCATGTAAGCAATGATTTGATACTTTTTTTGTATCAAAAATAAGATGGATATGCCATTTTTGATGTAGGATACACTAATATTAATGGCATCGATTCCCTGCAAGACAGATTTGACTTTCATAAAAGTCCGCGTTACCGGGGCGTCAAGTGATGACAGTCCTTAAAAACAGGCTTATTCCATTTTTGATGTAGGATACACTAATGTGAATGGCATCAATCCCTTGCAGACAGATTTGACATTCATAAAAGTGGTGACAGTCCTTACAAACAGGCTTTAATAGTCGAATGTGTGCCACACCATTGGTAATTACATGGAGTCTCAAAGGAAAAGGTTAAATTTCCGAATGTCACCAGGAACAGTTTTAGAATAATATTATTGTAATGCTACAGTGTGGATCATATAGGATGGACACCCAATGTTTTTGTTTAGAGTGTCCTCATGTATTCAAACGTACCATTATACAAGTCTGACGTATGATAATGTTGATGTATCTGACGACACGTTCGTCTCCTTTGATTGATTGATCAATATGGCACAGAAAGGCTAAAAAGTCTCCTGTAGTGTTACTCCGTTGTCTACGGTACTGGGTAATAAGTGTTGGGTTATTGGTTGTCTACGGCACTGGGTTATAAGTTTTGGGTTATTGGTTGTCTACGGTACTGGTAATAAGTTTTGGATAAATTGGTTGTCTACGGTACTGGGTAATACGTGTTGGGTTTTTGGTTGTCTACGGTACTGGGTAATAAGTACTGGGTAATAAGTGTTGGGTTATTGGTTGTCTACGGTACTGGGTAAATAAGTGTTGGATTATTGGTTGTCTACGGTACTGGGTAATAAGTGTTGGGTTATTGGTTGTCTACGGTACTAGGTAATAAGTGTTAGGTCATTGGTTGTCTACGGTACCGTGTAATAAGTGATGGGTTAATGGTTGTCTATGGTACTGGGTAATACGTGTTGGGTTATTGGTTGTCTACGGTACTGGGTAATAAGTGTTGGGTTATTGGTTGTCTACGGTACTGGGT